TTTTGCCAATCCTAGACTATAGTTGCAGGCGAGGGGACTTCGAATAATATTCATTACACTCAAACAGATATTACTTATATGAGCATTTTCTTTATTCAATAATATTCACACATCTCAATTATTATAATATTTTACTTCGAAAAATTTCGTATCGCAATTCAAGAAATGGTAATCATGTAATTTGCGGTTCTGAAAATGAATCGTTGAAAATATGTTCAAAGAGATTGCCTATTAAATCTGTGAATGTTCCATTCGAGAACTGTTATAGCACAAAAAACACGAAGAGCATTCTTCAACGTCAGCATTATCTAATATATCAAGAAGAAACCTCCTCAAAAAATAGTGCCTCAGAGAGCAGTTCATTTGATACATCTGAAGGGATAAAATTTCAGTTCGTTTTTGTATTCTTTGTTGTCTCTCTTCATATGTATACTCTACTTCCGATTCTTTAAATATGCTTCATTTCTTGTTTCACATAAACCATTCATTAATGTTCCCTTTAATGTTCATCCTTTAATGTTCATTCATCCTCCATTTAATTGCATCTCATCTGCTAATGGCATTTACGCGACATATCATGCAACCTATGCATAATAACGAACTATGATTAGTTCCACCATACGTGCGCTCCACTAAAATAATGTTTTTCTTCACTGTAAGCGATCATGAGAAGTTTTGTAATAAGTATTTGGGCATTTTTTCCGATGACTTTCATAGTATCTTTTGTGAGGTAAGTACTTATTTTCAACACTAATCAGAGAACCTGTCGATTACATCGATTACATTCATGATTTATCGAAGATACTTCTTACAAGCAGGCATCATCATTGATGCTACATTCACTGAACAACTAACCCTTCTTCGAATCGAAATCCTTAAACGAGGACACTTCTGGATGGTATTGTGCATGAATTGGGCGGTATAATATTGCATATGAATAAAACAAATTCCATAATCGATAAGCTGTCAATCATCCACTCAAACGCTTCTAAGCATCGTATTCTCTATCATATGTTCCTGTCACATCTCTGAGGTGTACTTCACTGAACGACCATTGTCTTCTTACACGTTGATCGTATTCGTTGACATTCAATCCTCTCATATCCGGACCATTTGGGAACAGGGTGCGTTCAGATAACAAAAACGCTCCGATAACGGAAATCATCGGATAGATTGACTTTTGTGAATCTCAGCTGGTGCGTACCGTGTGTTGCCTAGGCTTCAGGATAGGGGGCCAGTGCAAGTGGACCCTACCAACCGTTTCCCCATCTAACCACTAATATGCATAACAACTCTCAAGAAGAATAGTGTTCAATGTTCATTGGTTTCAATGTTGTCACACTTTTTCCGCAGCCAGTGGTTCTTCAGCAGAGAGTAAGCTCTGCATACCACTTGCATTAATAAATCCATTCCGTTGACGATATCATGCAGTAGATGTTTCACAAGCTTTTATGGCTGACGAATGTCTATGCGCTCGATTCCTTCGCTTTCTTCATCAGTTTCATCATCTTATGGTTCATCACTATCGTTCAAGTATTACTGCACTTATTATTCCCTGGTCATCTAGATGCTCTGAACAGCAACTTCGGCTTCTGAAACAATCCACTCTTCCACATCAGTTGCATTAAACAAATCATATGTCTCCATCTTTGCGAACACTGAGCGCATTTCGGTGACACATTTCTCTTGTTTTTCAGCTTTTTTGTTGATTACACTCAAATGAATTGCAGGTAATTCCCTTGAATTGGTATTTTTAAAACATCTTACAAATAGTTTTTCCTTTTGCATTTGTATAAATAAGCAGTTTTATTGAACCTGATGCATTGGCACAAACATTTAACGTGACTGTTGAAACCTGCTTCTTCCGGCCTTTTGCTTTTTTTTCGAAATGAACTGCTAAAGTTTTCTAAGATAGTATGCGATATAGAGGCCTGTCTGATCACAACTGAAGTTTTCAATTTTTAAGAGGCCTCTCTAATCACGTTGTTATCTGATCAGTGAGGAATTTTTATGCATTACATCGTCATTTTCGATGTCAATTCTATGACATTCGCGAATTTTATGACACATTCACTTAACTCTCTTCTACCATTATCAATAGACGATTTTATGACGTTTGCAAAATCTCCAGTGCCAGTCGGTATCAGCTAAAAAATCGGTATGTTGTCAGCCGAACCGGAGTGAAGTGGTGAAATTTGTAGGAAACTTTAGCTTTTCGTTGCAACGTTAAACCACTCACGGTTGAACTCCTTCCTGTTTGTCACCTGAACCATCTATCGATAGCTTGATCCAGCTTTCACTGCAATTGCTCATTTTAATCGCCAATTAACGAGGTTTATAGATGCTTTTTGCCTTTTAGCAGTAAGGTGAAATTCTAGTCAGATATATGTTTGCGCGATTTTCTCTCCCAGTGAGGTGCTAAAGGACAACTTCATTTCGTCATCGATGAAATCATATCGTATTCACGATCTTTTATAGATTGCAATGCATATATTATGAATGCCATCTGCTTCATGATAATAGTTGTAATTCGTAATGATTCGTCATGATATTAGTTGTGACGATTATAATTCATCAACACATCAGAATTATTTTACATGCGCAGTTTTTTATTCATATGCGCTTATATGGTTGCATGTACTCTTTGCAATCGTATTCTATTTTCCCACAACAATTCTTTGAATATTGGAATATGAAAGGATGTACTGTATCATCATTATGAAATCTAACATGTCCTGAACTGCACTAAACTACATTGAACATTTCTAAAAAGGATCCCATCGTGTGATTCGTTGCGATGATCATAATCAGCAAACATTCGAAATGCATGCACTGTGTATACTAGTGTTCGTCGGGGAACGGGGTCCCCGTCGGGGACCCCGGCGGGGAACGCGGGGAGCGCTCCCCCCCCGCGCAATTTGCTCCCCGACTTTTTNCCCCCCCCCGTCCAATTTACTCCCCGCGGGGACCCCCCCCGTGCAAAAAATTGCTCCTCGACGAACACTAGTGTATACTGTCAGATGTGTAGATCCATCCATATGTGAGCATTTGTGTGTGCTGTGATATTTGCAAAAGCAGAATATTCGCTCATTTGCTGTGAAAGCTGATTTCACAATACGAATGCAATCGTATTCCTTGTTAAATATTAAATGCAACAAATACATTCGAAATTTTGCATCGTAATGAAATGTTCGAAGAAAATGGAGTAATTGAATCAAAACATGTTGTTGCGAATGACTGGTTCAGTTGAAAAATTTATCATTGGGTTGCGTTCATCTGCAAGATTCATTGGGTTGCACACATGCTAATGAACCAAACAAAATTTTCGTTTCGTAACCCTAGAATTCGTTGTTGAAAAAGATTTGTAATCAACAATATGCACCCAACAAACACTTCCGCATTTGCTCGTTTTTGCTGTTATATTTTAAAATAGTCACAGACACGAAAATTATGTCCTTGAAATAATAGCTGATTTTAATACATCACAATAAAGCGTTGAAATGAGCACATAATAGATTGAATGTCTGCATTTTGAGTAAGCGAAGTGTTTAATTAAGTGGAAATTCAATTGTAAAACTAATGAAAATCCAACACTACATGATCGCACGACAAGTTGATCACACGCTATGAATCGATTACTGTATGGTCAAACACTGTGACATGACAACAGATGCGGTGAAAACTGCAATGAATTTTGCGTTAGCTTTCCGAAAATCGTTCAATATTTTTATCAGTGATATCGTTTCGCATTAAGAAAGACGGTGAAAAATGTGAGTTACTGGACAGCTGTTTACCCCGCAAACAAAGTAACCATTTCTTGTATGTCTTCACATTTCCATTTGTCAACGTCGAGTTCTAAATTGAAGTTTGCACCAACTTGAGATCAGACTGTTTCTGCAGGAACGATTTTTCATGTTTCTGAGATAGACGATGTGTGAAGATGTGTTGCGTATGATAAATTCCCCATTTTTCTTACATGCAAGAATGCATCTATTTGAATGCACTGCTCGTTCGTTTGACGTTCAACTGTTGTCTTATTCAATTGCAACACTCATAAGCTAATTGCTTTTTAAACGTTGCCAACAAAGCATATATCCAGCCAGTAATATTCAAGGGAATAAACCATAGACAATACTAACAGAATCAACCATCATTATACATATTCAACCATACCATTTCCTTCGAATATTAGGCATCCCATTAATTGATGATCTCCCCTTGGACAATCATCTTCAGGAATTTCATTTATGTGGCATATAAGATTCACTTAATACAACTCACCGCTCATTCGAATTTCAATGATCAAAAATAAAATCGAAAGGGTATCATCACTGAATGTGCACTGAGCACAGCAATAGGAGTTGATAATTTTTTTTGTTAAATTATGCTTATGAGTTGTTCTGTTTGGAATTAGATATTCGTTTATTCATACCGTTTCTCTTCATCGATAACTCGTTGCTCTTGTAATCTACCGATATATAAGGTAAATTTTCGCTGATGCTAGTCGTATTTATCTGATAGATTGAGTGTTAAGATGTTCTGAATTCTGACTCATAGCGGTTCGTCTAATTGGAAACTCATTTCGTTGTAAGAGGCTGCACGCAAGCTTCGATATTCACTTCTGCATGAGTGTTCGCTCCTAGTTTGTAACATTTAAGAGTTTTGCAATTAGCATAATGCACCTTAAGAAATTTTTAAATAGCGCAACAACGATGCACAATACCACAATCATTATTGATACAAGCCTTCGTTTCATGCGACGGATAAATCAGCGCTTGAATCATTCTCTTGAATCAAATCGCAATTTTTAAGGAATTGAAGGAGCAACATAATGGAAGCTGTTCGATAATTATACCAAAATGATGTCATCGTGGTTCTCATATTTTAGGTTACTTGCTGTTTCAATTTATTGCTTTTTCAAGAAATTGTTTATCTCGCTTAAATTGCGTGTCATTTTGTGGCTCGACGTGACTGAGTTTAGAAAAGTGCTGAAGAATTCAATGTGGGCGTGGGCTAAAAAGTATGAAAGGAATGGGAAAAAGCATGACAGCTCTGCTGTCTGTGAGTTGAAATTGATCAGTCTTTACTGAGTGCTGCCAGCCATTTACAAGAAATGGGTTGGGAAATTTTCTCAAGTAGTTCATCATGTTTAACCCTTTCACTGCCTGAATGCAAAAATAGTTCCGAAAACTTTGCATTCAGTTAAATGGTATGCATGCAGAATACAAGACTGACTCTTTTAGATCAAAACCGATTCAAGAGGAAGATGAAGATGAGGATGAGAACGGAGATAAAGAAGTGCTGGAAGGAGAGGATGGAGAACAATTGACGACATCAAGCGTTCCGGAATTGCCCGGTCTCAGCGATGAACAAAAAGCACAAATTCGAGAGGTGGCATCTGAAAGTGTTGTCACTGAATAAAAAGGAGATGACAAATGCCTTGAATGCGAACTACCGCAAACACATTCCCTTTTCAATTTCTCAGTTAATCTAGATTCGCTCGCTGCTAAAAAATGCACACTTTCAATGATCAACACATACAAATAGCATCTCTATTAGAAATTTAGTGCTACTTCTAATCTAAACATCATGTTCTCTCTTCAGAAGTCCTTTGAAATACTCGTGTAAACTTTATTCTCATTATGCGAGTGAGCATTTTGAAGAAATTGAACGTTCATGAGATATGAAGAGGGCACGGAAAGTTCTGTCTCAGAACGGCAAATTGCCGCTAAAATCGCATTAAGCAGAGTCTAGCCATTGCGTCAGAGCAAAGAATCAATTATTCGAATTGGTACCTTACTCGCTAAAGACCACTCTTCGCTAAAGTTGATCCACTGCGTCAGTTTTGACTACCGCCCTTAGGAAAACTACTCCCGAGATATCTGCACCGTTGAGGCTTAGATTCAGTCCCAAGCTGCAGCCTAAGCTGTTGGTTATATTTGGCATAGTCTGAAGGGAAGTTTTTTTCGGGTGACCATTGTCTATCGAATTGAGCAATATCAATGATTCTGTCGAAGAATAGCTGTGGAAGAACGCCGTTAGGTGAGCAACAGCTATGATTCAATCTTAATTTTGTTGACATTTGAAGGTATTGAGAAGAGCGGAAAAATCGCAAAAAGATGCTCGAGTTATCGTCGATCCTAAACATTTATGGCAGTTGCGAGAATCCAACTTTCGAGGTACTCTCGATGAGAGTGAAGAGATGTTCACGGTCGAAAATGAAAGTGTTCTCGTACAAATGGATTCAATACCAGAAAGTATGTTCACAAATATCTTTCCTCCTCAATCACTGCAAAGTTACCAAGAATAAATATAATCTTATCAATACCTACATCATCAATAGCGCTAAAAATTCGTATGCGCGTTCTAATACCAGCATTATTAGAACGGGTTCTTACTCAAGTCAGCGAGTATCTTTTACCAATTTGACATCCTCGAAGCGCATAATTATCTGATGTATCAAGAACAAACATTGAAAATGTTACGGTCCTTCACTTTCTCGTATGAGTTTCGCCTACTTCACTCGAATCAAATGCCCGATACATGGTTCTGTCATTTACATTTGTTTAGATGACATACAGGTTTGGGTGTTGACATATAATCGTCAATTTATTCGAGATGCTATAGTTTTATTCAAATAATGAATTATGATATATCTCTAAATTTTCTTCGAAAAGCAGTAGTTCTTGCAGCGCTTGAAGTGATTGCGATACCAGCACCGCCACCCTCTGTTGCCACCTCATACACGGAACAACCACCGAGTTCGTTGAGCTCGATGGGTTCAAACAATAGTACGCCAGCAAAGCGATCACGTGAGTCGTAACCATTTTCAATGCTTGAGTGATTCTTTCAGAGGTGAAATGAGACTTCGACAAAAGAACAGAATATGATTGAAAAGTTATTGTTCGATTACCTTCTTGCTTTAGAAGCTGATCACTTCGCCCCTATAGGTTGAACACAGAATGAATAATTTCAACAGCTAAGCAGACCAATTTTTTTCTATCGTTGCATTCGATTTTTGACATCTTGTTTCTTAAACTAAGAAACAAAATGTTGCAGTTTCCGACTATAATCTGAAATCTCGACCGAATTCACTTGATCTTGATTGGCTTCCACTAGCGATTAGCCATATTTACCTTTGAAAGTCTCAAGTGTGAGCTGTGCATAATGAGTTCATGTCCCATAATTTGTCTGTTTCATCTCATTCATCCACCTGCCTCATCACGAATTAAGAGTATGCAATTCTCAAAACTAAAGACCACCTAAAAAATTTTAGTAACGTCTTCTTTAGTTGCTCCATCATCACATTTCTCATTGGGAATGAAATTATTGGGTGAAAGTATTTCGAATTGGTTCAGTGCTCTTGACAACGACGGTGGCGATGTTCTTTCAACACAAATAAGTGATGGTGAATGATTGTTTGATTACGATATTGAATTCAAAAATAGTTTTCAACATAACCTGTTAACTGTAGAAGATATTTACAAACATGGAAGATATCGAACAGTGGTAATGGTTGCGATCACTTCGCAACTACGGAGAATCAGTTCAGAATATCGTTTTGATGTGATCACCAAGGAAGATAGCTGAGCAACGAAACTGAATGTCTAGATAATTTGAATGAATGGATACAGAATTTATTCGAAATAAAACATCAAAATAAAGCATTGCTTTATTGCACTGCAAGTTTGCAGCTTAACAGAGTTTTGCTATGTTGTTAACGACTGGAAGCATTTTCAGAGTGCCATCAGTTCGAAATTCCTACTATCGTATATCCTGGTTCCTTGATGGACGACTATTCGACACGCTTGTCCCGTCATATATGCATGATGGCAGTCGCAGATAGTGTGCCTTCTATTTCGTATTCCGCTCAGTTGGACGCGTTCTGTAGAAGAATATGTGCCCAGATTTTTGATATGTTGTACGAAGAACTTCATTCGCTTAACGAGTGTGAACGAGAAAAATTGTTAAATACATACTGTGACCGATTGGCGACCGATATTTTGAACTGGGCCTATTTCGAGTTAAAAACTCGCCTACCTGAATTGCACTCAAAACAGTTCAATGATTTCTCGCAATCTTTCGAGGAGGATGTTATGGAAGATGCTGAACCTAATGACGCTCCTCTTCACTTTACGACATCATTGAATAAGCTTTCGATTTCATTCGATTGCATCCAGTCACTGACGCGCATTTTACAGCAGGAAAGCAATCAGTTTAACAGATCTCAGTCGGCCTTTGGTGATCTCTCTGCTGATCATTACGGTGAGGAAACGATTTATTTTTATTGGTTGAGAGGAAAGTTTTCCCGATCCATCGACCAAATGGTCATTTCAAAACCTAGGAAATATTTCTTCATGAATTATTGTATCAGAAAAAGTTTTGAGTACGGCGCCTAACTAATGTTAAAAATATCATTCCCTAACCACGCTACTTCTCTTGAAAAAAACAACATGGTTGACGCGAATAACACGTTCATAGGAACAAAAAGAAAACATAAGAATACCAAATAGGAATTGTAAACTTGAATGCTCCATAATAGCAGCATTATCACGCACTTTCGGTGATACAAGAAAATTGAACTAACATTCTCGCTTTCATTAAAGGAACAATTAAAAATATTCAAAAATGAACGAACGAACTCAGCCCCATATAATTAATCCGCGCATAAAACTGATCTTTCTCCTATCTAAATACATTCATATTTGATCAAAAAAGGTAATATTTTTGTAAAGCTCAACATATTCCAGAACGGTATGGAACCGAATGCTCTTCAGCCGATGTATATTACACAGTGTTGGAAGAAGAACAGGATATTACAGTTTGCGCAGAAGAGTTTGGTCTAAACAACGAAACGAACGATTTCGACAACAAAACACCTAGCGAACGGATCAGATGCAGAACTGCCGCAGATTTAAAATTGGAAAATATAATTCGGCTGTTTGTTGACGAGCTATGGAAGCATATAGTTATTAAAGTGCTGACCGAATCAGCCGAAATACTCTCTCAAAATATTCGTTCGATGGATTCAGTGAATTCCGCTGATACAGAGTCAGACAACCAGTCGGAGAGTGACGGATCAGCGATAGATTACTATAGAATATTAAGTGAAGAATACGATTATGAAGAAGATATGCGGGCAAGAGTGGATGGAGGATTCTATGGAAACGACAGCTGCATCCAATACAATGGAGAAAATTTTTTAAGGAGCTCAACAAACATAATTGAAAATGAAAAGAATACAGTAAGTGTTGAAGAGGATCAACAAGCATTTCTAACCGACAGTAATTTTCATGATAGAAGAAGAGAATTTATTGATGACACTGAACGAAGCGAGTTGAGCGATCCAATAAAAAAGAACGGTCGCGATTCATTCGATGCAAACGTAGAACCAAAAAACATTCCTCATGAATACTTTGCAAATTCCATCGAATCAACTGATTCTGAAATCGATAGAATTGAAGCAGAACGTAGAAGCATTCACACAATCTCCGCCAAACGAGTAGATGAACGAAACGAATTGGATATGCAAGGAGAACATGAATCAGATTCATATATGGAAGCAGCGAGATTAATCGTTGAACCTTCTGAAGAGAACATCAAGGAACACCCAGATCTCCTCATACAATTTGCGTCCACACCATCGCAAGAACCTGAAGAAAACGAAACAAGGACGGAAAAGACACCTGAAGAAAAACCGAATATTTCTGCTGAGGAATTCACTTCTGTTGTATCTGAAGGTAGTGAGACACTTGAAGCGGTCGCTCCTGAGGAGGAATTTCTAATCTCTCAAGAATCGAGCTCGACACCGGGTGCAGATGAAGGCGAGATTTATGAGCAGGCGACTGGTGCTGAGGATCAAGCTGCAGGTGTAACGGGTGCCGTGTTTTCCACCCATCTGGAACGAGGATCAGCGGAGGCCGTTTTAACCCAAGAGGAACACGAACACATTGAATACGTAAAAAGACTAGCCGAACAGGACTCGTTAGAACGACAGCTTCACGAAGAGCAGGAAAAGCACAAACCATCAGTTACAGAAGAATACGAATTGACCCAGGAAGAAATTGAGCACATTGAGTCCGTGAAACGGATGGCAGAAGCTGAACCAAGTCCATTCCTTGTGGAGAAG